AATATACAATGGAGAAAGGTAATTTTATTTAAAAAAAAAAAAAAAAAAAAAGACAGCCGAGCGCAGTGGCTCACACCTGTAATCCCAGCACTTTGGGAGGCCAAGGCGGGCAGATCACCTGAGGTCAGGAGTTCAAGACCAGCCTGGCCAACATGGTGAAATTCCATCTCTACTAAAAATACAAAAATTAGCCAGGTGTGGTGGTGCATGCCTGTAGTCTTGGCTACTCAGGAGGCTGAGGCAGGACAATTGCTTGAACCCCAGAGGCAGAGGTTGTAGTGAGCCGAGATCTCACCACTGCACTCCAGCCTGGGCAATAGAATGAGACTTCATCTCAAAAAAAAAAAAAAAAAAAAGAAGAAGAAGAAGAAGAAGAAGAAGAAAGAAAGAAAAAAGAAAAAGAAAAAAAAGGAGGCATCACGCTACCTGACTTCAAACTATACTATAAGGCTGCAGTAACCAAAATAGCATGGTAACAAGTAACAGGTACCAAAACAGACACATAGACCAGTGGAATAGAATAAAGAAGTCAGAAATAAGACCACAGTTATATAACCATCTGATCTTTAGCAAATCTGACAGAAATAAGCAATGGGGAAAGGATTCCCTATTTAATAAATGGGGCTGGGAAAATTGGCCAGCCATATGCAGAAAACTGAAACTGGACTCCTTCCTTATACCTTTTACAAAAATTAACTCAAGATGGATTAAAGACTTAAATGTAAATCCCAAAACCATAACAACCCTAGAAGAAAACCTAGGCAGTACCATTCAGGACATAGGCGTAGGCAAATGCTTCATGATGAAAACACCAACAGCAATTGCAATAAAAGCCAAAATTGACAAATGGGATCTAATTAAACTAAAGAGCTTCTGCACAGCAAAAGAAACTATCATCAGAGTGAACAGACAACCTATAGAATGGGGGAAAATGTTTGCAATCTACTCATCTAACAAAAGTCTAATATCCAGAATCTACAATGAACTTAAACAATTTACAAGAAACAAACAAACAAACCCATCGAAAAGTGGGCAGAAGATATGAACAGACACTTCTCAAAAGAAGACACTAATGCGGCCAAACAAACATATGAAAAAAGCTCAACATCATTGATCATTAGAGAAATGCAAAATCAAAACCACAATGAGACACCATCTCACACCAGTCAGAATGGCGATTATTAAAAAGTCAAGAAACAATAGATGCTGGCAAGGCTGTGGAGAAATAGGAATGCTTTTACACTGTTGGGGGGAACGTAAATTAGTTCAATCATTGTGGAAGACAGTGTGGTGATTCCTCAAGGATCTAGAACAAGAAATACCATTTGATCCAGCAATCCCATTACTGGGCATATACCCAAAGGAATATAAATCATTCTACTATAAAGACACACGCACACATATGTTTACTGCAGCACTATTTACAATAGCAAAGACATGGGACCAACACAAATGCCCATCACTGATAGAGTGGATAAAGAAAATGTGGTGCATATATACCATGGAATACTATGCAACCATAAAAAGAATAAGATCATGTCCTTTGCAGGGCAGGGACATAGGTGAAGCTGGAAGCCTCATTCTCAGCAAAATAACACAGAAAACCAAACACCACATGTTCTCACTCACAAGTGGGAGTCGAACAATGAGAACACATGGATCCAGGGAGGAGAACAACTCACACACTGGGGCCTATCAGAGGGTTGAGGGCCAGGGGAGGGAGAGCATTAGGATAAATACCTAATGCATGCAGGGCTTAAAACCTAGATGACAGGTTGATAGGTGCAGCAAACCACCATGGCACATGTATACCTATGTGACAAACCTGCACGTTCTGCATATGTATTCCAGAACTTTAAAGAAAAAAGAAAAAATCTTGAGTGTACATCGGTAGAGACTTCTTCTATATCCTTCAAACTATATCATGTGGGCAAGTACATATGGTGCCTTCCCTGGAGCATAGAAGAAGCACTATGAAGGCCCATCTGGAGTTACAAAAGCCCTGGGCCAATAAACTCAGTTTCTTCTCCCAAAGATCTTTCATTTAGCACAATCTTCCCTTCCACGAGGCCCAGACTACATAGAACAATGTTAAGAGAACCATGTTAAGCTGAAGGAGATGATGACTAGAAAGCTAAACAGACTAAACATATTAAAAATGCACTTCCACAGAATAAATACATGACAGGGAAACTGTTTTACTTCAGTTTTGTATTCATGTGATGTTGGAGAGAGAAGGCAAGTCAGTTTAATAACAAGAGAAACTTCATATTACGTTTCTTTCACTAAGGACAACAGAACAATAACGTTGGATTTCTTTATTCACTTTAATTCAGCAAACACAGGTTCTAATGAGTCTGGAGAAAAAGTAGCATTCTATAAAAAGGCCTAAGCATTACCCTTTGTTGTACCTCATTCTTTCTGCCAAATTTGTATTTTCTACTAGACGGACAGTTCCACAAGTGTGGGGACTGGGCATGTCTTGTTTCACCCTGTGATACTCGGACAATGTTCAGCTCACAGTAGGTGTTCAATAAATATGTTAAATAAATTAACGTTGATCATTGTGGTTTTGTGTGAATCATGAGACCGATGAAGATGTATTAGAAACTACATTCAAGGAGAAGTGGGGAAAAAAAGAAACCACATTCAAAGTAGGCAAGGGCGAAAGTTCTTCTCCTCCTATGCATATAATACTGAAAGTAATATTGATGGTTATAGAGTATTAAAAGGTTGAGAGAGGGAAGGGCCTTAGAGCAGTCGGGAGGAAAGAAAAAAAGTAAGGGTAAGAGTAAGCTTTTCTCTTTAAGGTATTTTCATTAGCTCAAAGCAGACGAAAAATTGAAAACCAAACTGTTCCTTAAAATAAGAATATATATATATATATTTTTTTAAGACAAGGTCTCATTCTGTTACCCATGTTGGAAAGCAGTGGCACGACCACCATTCACTGCAGCCTCGACCTCTTGGGCTCAAGTGATCTTCCCACCTTAGCCTTCCAAGTAGCTGGGACTATGGAAGCACCACCACTCCCTGCCATTTTTTTTTTTTTTTTGGAGAGACGGAATCTCACTATGTTGCCCAGGCTGGTCTCAAACTCCTTAGTTCAAGTAATCCTCCTGCCTTGGCACCCCAGAGTGCTGGGATTCTAGGTGTGAACCACGGCACCGCACCAAAAGTAAGAATATTTGGTTACATTTTAGAGATAGAAAGAGTTAAGTATTCAAGTATAGATTCACTTATACATATACAGCATTACGTACATAAAGAATGAAGTATTAGACTCCCCAACTACTTTCCAGGACTCTGCCCACTGACCTCTGGTTCCTCTGATTTGTGCTCTATGTTTACTGTTTCTCCATTCTATTCAGTCATATTTTTAACTTTTTTAATCCAGCAATTTTTATTCTGCATGTTAGTCTAATAATTATGGAATTCATTGCTGACTCAGAGAATCTAAACAGATTAATTCAGGCAAATGCCCGAAGCAGGGATGAGCAGATAAAGATGTCATAAGGACACAGTTTACAAATGTTGTACATAATAGATGCTGTGATTCCATAGACTGAGGCAAACAACATTGCAACCTAAAAGTGAATTATGTAAATAGGGTAACTATCTCCATTTTAAAAGCCCTATAGACGCTAAAGTTTATTCAAGGAACTAGTAAATCATATTGCTTTCTTTGTTTTCATATTTCCTGTGGCTCCAAGGGGCCATTGTAATAAATAGTAAATTATGGTTTTTGTTTTTGTTTATCCCTGTTCTCACATCTGGAAACTGGAAACTAATCATACTCCTGGTTCACACAGCCTGGATACTTCACTTATTGTGGAACATAGATTAAAATGAGAGGCAATAAGTAGGTGTTTATTTTATAACAGAACATGGAAGGTCAGAGGTAGAAGGGTTCTTAGCGATCACTCAGTCCAACACCCCCGTCTTTTTCACTTTAGCAACCTGAAGCTGAAAGAAGGGTTGAAGATTGCCCTTTGTCCCTGAGTATGCATTTGGCAAGGGATCTATTTTGAAATATTTGTGTCTCAAAGAATTCTCATTCCTCAAACTTGCTGATCACCAGGAGTAACAGAGGTTGCCTTACACTTTCATATGTCTTATAGACATTATGTGTCTGGGAAGCCTGAAGTTAAAAATAAAGTAATATTACCCCAAACAAAACTTACTTGGTTCTGGGGTTGGCAACAGCAGGGGATTGGGAAACTATCCTCTGGTAGCTGACATTTCATGTGACTTACAAAAAAGAAAAGCTGTATTATTGCTGTGTAACTGTGAGGCGGAGGACACACATGTCTACTGTGGAGCCTTCTAGTATCACAGGAGAGCAGAGAGAATAGCCACCCATACCTGCCACTGAGTCCACAGCTGACCAAGCCCAACCATTCCCCTCTTGGGAGCTTTTCTGCATCTTGTTCCCCAGATACCAGGTGCTCTGCCTAGCCATAACAAAACAGTGCCAAGGGCAGGAGAATTTTAGCTCCCTCTCCCATCTAGAGACCAAATGGCCTCCCAGAAAGAAAAACAAGTATGTCAAATGTCTCAAAGGTAGTGACTTGTTATGTGGGATCCCCAGTTCCTTAGAAGGTCTACCAAAGAGTGGAACAATTTTCAGTATTTCAGATGGAAATCATACATTGAGCCACAAGGCTACACAGACTAAGTATAGCATCAAGTTTCTTTCCTTTGGCTTAAGTTCTGTCACTCGGTGGGATTATCTCAGGCTTATCAGGAGCTCTGGAGAGTGGTTAAAGATATCTCAGATAACTGAAAATGAAGAAATCATTACCCATTAGATGAAAATCAGGTCCCTTGAAAGACAAGATGGAATAATAAGAGAGATTTCTGTGGGTATGAGAAAGACTCGGAAGTACTGGTTTTAAACCAAAGAAAACTTTATATCCAAAGACTCCTCAAAAAATTATTTAAGGGAAACCCCCTCCCCTATTCCAGCTCTCCCCTCTGGTTCCATGACAATCACTCACTGGGCAAGGCAGGGAGGTCTTCCTGTGACTGGTGGCTTGTGGTCGGTGGCGTTCCCGGAGTCCTCTCTGATCCTCCTCTCTCCAGCTGTGGCCCCAGAAGCTGCTCATCCATTTGGCAAAAGACACATCATCATCATCATCATCTTTGTGCTCCATGTAAAGGTGATGCCAAATATTGAAGGCCTGCCCCTAAATCCGACAGAGGGAAATATCACCCAACAGGGCTGACAATGAAACCCAGATCTCCCCCAAAAGACAAAATGAAACTGGTCTTTTTAAAATGGTCTCCGATACTGGCATCCTTAAAGGAGAAAGATTTACTAAACAACCACTTCATCATCAGGCAGCCTTGGGCAATGTCTATTTATAAATTGTGCAGCCCACATTCCCCTCCCCTTGTCTTTTTAAATTGAGAGGCTTTCTAATCCTTCCATTGCTGGGGCTTGTGCCTCACAGCCTAAGGGTGGGAAGCAGAGTCCACTGCCTGGTTTTCCCTGTGCTTTGCTGCCAATGACATGTGATGGCATCTCCAGCTGTCAATGATGATGGAGCATGACCCTCACAATATGCCCGTCAGCTCCAGGCAAGCTCTGAAATGGGGCCATATACAAGGAACACACTGACCACAGCTTGCCAGGTAGCCAGCTGTTGCCATGTCATATCTAGAGCTAGATACTCTCCTAATAAAATGATATTGATATAAAATCCAGCTCCTGGATCAAAATGAGTAGTTTTTAAAATTGAGGTATTACTTATAGATGTACAAATGTAAATAATATACAAGTACATGTAAAATGTACAGATCATAAGTGCACAGCTTGATGGATTTTTATATACGTATACCCCTGTGTTACCACCACCATGCAGGTAAAGACACAGAGCACTGCCAGCACCCCATGGCTCCATGTATCCCCTCCCAATCCATACTCCCTTCAAAAGTTTACTGTTAATGATCTGTGTCACCATAGATTAATTTGCTTGTTTTTGAACTTACTTTCAATGCATTATACAGTATGCATTATCCTATGTTATTCAACATTATGTCAGTGACATATGTCCATGTTTTTGCAGTAATAGTAGTTGATGCTGTGTGTAGTATTGCATTTCATCAACACGCCACAATTTTTTAAAATTCAGTCTACCAGTGATGGTCATTTTAGGCTGTCATTTAGATTTTTTTCTAGTTGGGGCTTTTGTAAATAAAGTTTATATAAATTTCACAGTCCCTGTCTTTTAGTGGGCATTTTTTCAAGGTAAAGAGAATATTACGTTTATGGAACTCCTACTTTGCATCAAGTATGGAGCCACCAAGTATTCCATATATGCTCATTTTCTTTTTTCTTTTTTTTTTTTTTTTTTGAGATGCAGTCTGGTCCTGTGGCCCAGGCTAGAGGGCAATGGCACGATATCGCTCACTGCAACCCTCGCCTCCCAGGCTCAAACGATTCTCCTGCCTCAGCCTCCCGAGTAGCTGGGATTATGGGTGCCCACCACTATGTCCAGCTAATTTTTGTATTATTAAAAAACCCTGTAGAGACGGGGTTTCACCACGTTGGCCAGGCTTGTCTCAAACTCCTGACGTCATGATCTGCCTGTCTCGGCCTCCCAAAGTGCTGGGATTACATGCATGAGCCACCACGCCGGACCCCATATATGCTAATTTTCTTATAATAACCCTGTGACTGGGAGATTTGTATGACATTTTATTGATAAGGAAGTTGAGATGCAAATAGATCACCCCTTGCCAAAGTGAACTTAATACTAAGTGGCAAAGCCAAGTTTGAAGTGGGGAATAGAAAAACAAAGTCCAGGCTCCTTCCACCATCCTGTCAGTATTTCAAGAGAACTTGGAGAAGTCTTGCATTTTCAATCAGGAATTCTTGGCCATTTGCCATATGAAAATCCTTCCGTGAGCTGCAAAAAGATAAGCTTGGTAACTATGACCAATGTTTGTAGAGCATGGTATCACAACTTTTATGTTACTAAGGAAAAGTAGCCAAAGCTTAACATATTTTGTAACATTTTTATTTTTTGCAAATGGCCAAGACTTCCTGTGTTATCACAACTCATTGCTGGAGGAATTAAGCACATCCTGTGGGACTTCACTGGAACAGGACTTTTTGGAAGAGTGTGCCTAATTTCCTCCAGACTGCACCCCATATGCCTTTTCTATTTTCTTTCTCAGTTTTACTTTGTATCCTTTCAACATAATAAATCTTATCCATGAGTAAGACTATATATGCTGAGTTCTAGCAAATCCCCAAACTGGGGATGACAGCTACTATCACAAGTGGGATTTGCTAAAAAAAAAAAAAAAAAAAAAACCACCCAAATCACTGAAATATGGCTAAAGCAGGGTTTGGGAAAAGGGAGGATGAAGAGGACACGATGGTGAACCTTCAATGCCCAGTGGCTACCTAGCCATCTGTACAATGAATCAGCTGTTGAGATGATGTCTGTTGTGAGAGGTAAAAGTTACCTACAGAATTCAAAATAACGGACTCAACCCCAGGACAATTGGTTCATTAGATTCCCTGGATACTTTTGGCCATGGGTAGCTAAAATGAAGGGATTAAAAAGTGCAGCCTGGCTGATGCCTTTGGGTTTTGTTCTCTCCTCTAGACGAGAGGAGAAAGGGTCCAAACATTCCCAACACACATTTTGCATGGGCCACAAATGTTAAAAGTTTGCATTGCTTTCTCTTCCAAGTGGGAAGGAAGAGAAAGCAATGCAAACTTCTACCATTTTTGTTAAGTCAGTTCCAAGAGCTAGAACAAGGCTTTAGATAAACCAGCAAGAAAGGGGAGTGGGGGAAATAATACCCCTTCGCCTGGTACAGCAGCCCCTTTACATTCCAACTAGAAATCTCTCAGCAGGTATAATGTAAGTCATATATGCTGAATTTACCACTTTACTACTAGGAGTGTGAGAAAACCTACAATGAAAAAAAAAAAAATGGCTTCTATTTTGTGGCTATTGTACCTGAATGAATATACGACAAAAACTGATGTAAAATACTGTATGCTTATAATTTCGTAAATGCTTGAGGGATTACCCCAGTTAGGAAAAGTGACTCCATAAGAAATATTAGGAGAATATGCACCTCTTGATTTTTGTTGCTAGTAGATACATCACAATTTAAATTCTGAGTATTTAAATACTGAACTCTCCATAACTGATTATTTTGCTATAATTTTTGCCTGTTGGAGCCTATGGGAAAAGGTAGACAACATAGAAGGATAGCTCATCTCCACTGGAAAAAACACCTTTTGAGTTTTAAAAAGCGGTTTTTAGTTTGCTAATAAGTTCTTATAAAATCAGGTGTCTGTCTGACCCTCAGAGGCTAATGATTTGCCAGCCTCATGTGCTTATTTTGGAGTGGGTCGATTGGACTCTAAACCTGACAATATAAAAAGGGCTTAGAAAACATTTCTTGTCAATTGCACTTGGAACACAGTTGTTTGGCCCTGTATCTTCTTGGCTTTGCTGCTGCTAAAGAAGAAAAGTTGCTAGCTAGTTTGGAATCCTGAATTCACAGATCCTAACTGCCTGGAACTTATGCTAAGCTGAAACTTGATACTGTCTGTGAGGGACTGTTCCAATCTCTGAAGACAGGCATAGGCTCAAGGAACAGAACTCAGTCTCTGGAACTATTGCAGGTTTGTTTACAACACTCTTCTGTGGGGCCATAAACTATGCTATCACATGGCTCACTTGCAGATGCCTACGGGAAAGGGCTTGTTCTTTGATAGGACCATTTGAAACCGAACTAGTTGCACCAGAAATGATTGATCCCAAGAACCCTGTAAAAAACTGCAAGCTTGGGGAGAGCACATCGCAGAGAGTGGGACCCCTCCATCCACTCCTGACAGATAGGGCTCTTGACCCCTTCTGGGGATAGCTTACTGCTATCAATTTGTGTTCAGCTTGCCAGAGTATTTTGAAATTTGCAATGATGGACTGATAGTCTGACTCTTCTTTGCTCACCTCTCTTCTTAGTTAGGCAGTTTGATTGCTAAATGCAGCTGCTCCTAGACAGAAATTGATATTTTCTAGGCTGCTTCCTGAATAAATAATCAGGACAAAAGGGATAGGTAATGTAAACACAGTCTGAAAATTTTTGAAAATTCAGGATTTTGTCCTAGCCCATTCTGAAACATGATGTGGTTTTTCTGGTTGTTACACGAAATAGTGATTTTCTATGTAAATCATTTTGTCCCTCTAACACCCAACCCTTCCTACCCTTCCTCATAAAAGGTCTAGATAAGAATAAACAATGGCTGGGGAAGTTATGATTTCTGAATGAATCACACTGTTGTATAATAGCAAAGAAGGAAAAAACCCGGAGCAGGAGAAAGAGGGCATTAACGATCTGTTTTTCGGAACTGCTCCTCAACACCAGTGCTGCCTTTGCAGGATGCTGTGAGGGCTTGAATACAAACTGACTGCTGAGCCTATGATCACAACCAACAGTACTGACTATGAGAGAGCAGCACCTGGCCCCAGCTCCTCTAGCTTCCAAGAACACCTCCAGATATTGTCCACACTTACGAGCAAAACTGACAGAAACAAACTGCCTTCAGGCAGTCCTTCTAAAACAAAGAACTTAGCTGAATTATTCAGACTGGACAGGGAAACTGTGGGCCGAAGTCCCCACAGTGGGAAGCCATACTGGGGGCTCTGCTAACCTGTGCTACCTGACTAACGCATGTTTTCACTGGGGTAACTGAACTTGAATTCTTTGTTTCTGAGAATGCTCCCTGGGATTGTACTTCCTGCGTATATATGTTGTCTATCATGGCCTGCCTCAGCCCAAGAAGGCATGCAGGTCAGCTTCAATTTACTACCCAGAGATGTGCTGTGCTTGAATTGATGCCTCGGGCTAGGTTAAAAAAGGTTAATACAAAAACTTAAGGAGAAAGCCACCTGGCTTCCTAAGATTAACCTTTATAGCTAATGGGATTTGTTTTAATTGGCTAAATCCAAGACCTCCGGATTTTAAGTAAAGTCAATATTCAGGTTAGTTTCATACTGTGTCGTGGGACACTACTGATAATAATTTTGCTATAAAATGCCTTGACCAAGGAGATCAGCTACACAGAAAATGGTTAACATAGCAGGCCTGAAACTGCTGATCCTTAGAAGGACTGGCTTGCAAGATTAGCCCTTAGCTGGCTTCTGGGAACTTG